AACATATTATTAGAATCTCTTAGGGATGCTAGCAGAAATTAGCATTAGTGTAGGGTTGTTTTTATCTAATTTTTTGGCCAAGTTTTGACTTTTATAGCCTGAACTGAAGGCCTAGCACTAACAATCATGGTTCAACACAGCACAATATGCATAAATGTTTAAATATGTCATTTTAAATCCAATTTAAAGTGTGCATTGTTCATGTACTCAGTGAATAATAAATGTTAGGATGCAGCTCCTCTGTACAGTTCTGATTAGTGAATATGACACTGCCAGCAGGATCTCTGTTTACTGAGGCTGTTTATAAAAGGGTCATTACAGCTGCTCATTTACTGGACATCCATCAAAAGTATTTTACTATTTATCTTTCATAGCCTCACAGCGAGCTCAGTGAATGACGTGGCCTTATTTGTGAATGTTTTTCTGTGAAGAAATCTTCATGATTGACATGACTGACATCATGGGTGATGAATTTGTTTGAGAATCATGCGTGTGTCTCTGCCCAGTGCAAAAGCAGTGGTCACACTTTACTGGCCATAGTTCATGTGTGTAAATAAACATAGAACATCTGTAACCCCATGCATAATTAAACAGTCTGTCTGTGATATTTCATTGCTGACTGCTTTCGGATCAAAACAGCTGATCACATTACTTGAAGCTGTATGGTGTCCTATTCTGACTGTAATATTCAGAAACAATAAAAAGCTGCTCCTCACACAATGCAGTGAGTAAAACATTTCCAGCAAATCTGCTTTGCATTATCCTGCATGACATCTACAATGTGTTCTCCATCAGAGAATTAAAAATCTGTGCTTGCTTGTTCAGAGAGAAAGGCCTCAGTATGAATTGGAGAAAAACATGATGTGTTGTTATTTAAGCATTATTATTGCAGTAATATTTCACAAGGCATATTTACACTAAATGACTTTAAAGGGCCCAATACAGTGAGATCATTTTACTAAGTAAAAAATGTTTAGAAATAAAGTAAATAGTCTTAAATTAAGCTTACTACAATCTCAACAGGAGAAATATTAGATTTATTGACCATATTTGAGATACTTTTACTTGACAAGATACCATTTTTTGCAGTGTAACAAAAACAGCCTGTTGATTGTAAGGGATAAGGATGAATTATGACCTTTTTTGGCACAAATGTCGTAAGTTGAGCTCGGGGACAAAAATAAAACAGAAAAAATGTAAAATATGGGCCCTTTAATTTATTGGATGTTAATACTGGTTTAATGTTCAAATTCATTCAGCTTATGGCTGATTAGAAGAGCCGTTTTCAAACTGTAGGTTGTGACACAATGTGGGGGAAGAGTGGGAGGTGAGGAAACTGGTTTAGTGTGAATGTTGTGGTGGCTGCCACTTGTTTTAGAAGTGGCTTTAGAGATTTTAGGAGCTGGAAACTCTCAACTTCTGCACTACTTCCACTTCTTCAATGTGGCCTTTTAAACCAGCAATGTGCAGCGAGCACGATCACGCTGCACAGTTATTGAGTTCTGTGCAAACTTCTGTGCAAAAGTAATATGTACAGAACACTCCTACTTATCACCAGAGATGTTATAAATGAGGAGACCATTCACTGGTTAAAATATGAATGGGAACTCTCATAACACTCAACATGGCATCTGTTTGTGGAGAAAGTCCCACCCTTCAAGAAAAAGAGCCAATCAGCTTGCTGGTTATGCCACAAATGGAAAAGCGTCAATGATATTGTGGCGCTAGTGGGAAAAGCCCCTTCGTTATGGAGATCTGCACAATCACAGTAGCCAGAACAACCTGGAATATCATGGTTTTGGTGTGTTATTGAGCCAAATGCTACAAACTATCTAACAGGTTTTTGTCAGATTTTACAAGTGATTTCAAATGTGTTTTGAAATCACCTGTAAAAGCAATTTGACCTTCAGTTTAAAGCATTTAAATTCAAATAAAGAGGAATCTGGTCTTGTATGGCTGGAAATAACTGCCCAGCGGTGCTGCAAAGATAGTCGCTAAGTGAACAGATTTTCCTATAAGGACTTTGTTTTCACTTGCGACTGGTTAAGCTCCAGTGATTGATATGCTGAAAGGAGATGACAGCTAGTGTACAACAAACAAAGCATGTAATGTCCAACTAAACATTATTGAAACGTATAATGTATAAATGTATTCATACTGAAGGTACGAGCTGAACGGATTACTGAATTTCAATAATTGTTTCATTCTTTTATCATTATACGCTGTTGCACATGTTGATTAAAAGAACACAATATTTGGACTAAAAGCTGAAGTACTTGTGTGTATCTCAGGGCTAACATTAACTCTTCATATTGGTCCTGGGGTGAAAAAAATTGGGAAAATTTATTGTTATACACAGTTGTGGACTGAACTTTTTCTACCCAAATTCAGTCTTTTCCTACTGAAGAAGAGTGTACATTAGTGAATAATGTGTTTTTCCTTCACTAATACTCTCATGGCAGTGAATGGATCTGTCTCTGTTTGAGCTCATTAAGATAAACATCAGCGTCTGGAGTTCACTGTATGACACACTCGCCACACACTCCCCCACACACACACCTCCCACACAGCCTCGCACATGCACGCTTTGGGATGTTATACTCCTCTGTAGCTATAACCCAATCTGTACATATTCACTTCAAGCAACAAATACATATATAACAAGTCTAAGTAGTCAAGTCAAAGTATACACTTATAACAAGTCTACACAGTCTATGTTGCAGGTCAAAGTATGTAAATACAAGAAGTCTATACAGTCTAACCTGTAGGTCAAAGAGACCTGCTTTCTGTTCCCAAATTAAAGAAAAGGTAACGCTTTACTGAAGGGCAGCATTCACAAGGCCTACATAACGTGAAATACAATGTATTGTATAATGTAAATAATCTCTTGGACCCTCTGAATGTCTCAAAATCAAAATGCTCAGGGACATTCAGGGGAGGGTGATTGTTTAGTTGTTTTACCCACAATCAGCAAGTTTCTATCTTTGGCATTATTAACTACCTAGAGATGCTGGTAGCGCTGTTGCAAATTGGTTCACCCAGTTGGCCCTTCACAGCCTAGCAACTGTAACTAAACCAGGATACATATGCCGTGGCATATTTTTACACTGCAAAAAATGATATCTTGTCATGGAAAATTATCTTAAATCTAGCCAATAAGTCTAATATTTCTCATATTGAGATTGTTGTAAACTTCTTTTAAGATTATTTAACCTATTTTTCTTTTTTTCCTGGTTTTAAGAGATTTTGTTAAGCAAAATGATCTCACTATATTGGCAGATAATTTTGGTTGTTTTAAGAAATGTGCTTGCAGAATTATGTGCCAGTATAGTGAGATAATTTAACTTAACAAAATGACCCAAAATGCATAAATAATGTCCAGAATTAAGCTAGATAATCTTATAGTAAGCACACAACCATCTCAAAATGAGAAATAGTAGACATATTGACTAGATTTAAGATAAACTCACTTAACAAGAAACTGTTATTAATTGTTATTAATTTCATACACTGAAAACAAAGAGGAGATGTGCAGGATATCAAGTTAGCAACCAGCCAACACTGGAGTAGCCAGCCAACATGGGGGGGGGTCCCATGTTTACACACTGCACAACACCTACATAAGACTTTAATGACAATAAACCAACAAATCTTATTCCAACAAACGTCACTGTCATAACACTTGCTGATAACATCAACAACTACCCCGGTAAGCCTTTATACACGCTTATATAGGTTTAACTTAGTCATCATAAAAGACTCATGTAGGTGTCATGTATGAACGCTGCCCTTCTCTAAAGCCTTATCAAAGGAAAAAACTCCTCCTGACTCGAAACATACTTATAATAGAAGCCAGTGGGCAGGTGCTGAAAATGGACTTATTTCACTTCATAAATGACTTTACATGTGGACACTGGCATGAAACATTTCGATCATTACACTGTTAAAAATCAGGTCAGCTCAAATCAAAATGATATAGTAACTGATTACTTTTCTTGAGTTGACTCAACTTGAGGACACAAGAGTTCACACCACTCAAACTTCTTAGTTGAGTCAAAAGTTCTCTTAATTTTTTAGTTCTGATCTCAGTGAGGTAAATAAAATGAGCTTGTTTTTTACACTCAACTTCCTCACAAGCCAGGACTCTTTCCATCACACAGTCCTGCTAGACATTTTTCCTCTTGGGGACACACGGATGGCTTTGGCATCGTTGGCTCAAACTCGCAATCTCCTGTTGGGGTGACGGCTTAGTCCATTGCACCACTCAGAAACACATGAAGCAACTCAGATTTTGTGTCTATGAATGTTTAATACACTGGAGAAAATACTTGTTGTTTTAACTTTAAAGCATAGCATCGTCTCATGTGGTGCAGCTGTCTAAGAATTCATCCCAACATCAGGAGGTTGTGAGTATGAATCCCAGCAATACTACAGCTGTCCATATCTGGAAGCCCAAGAGGAAAGTGTGCCAGATGGGACTGTGTGATAGAAGGAGCGCCAGCTAGTGGGGAAGTTAAAAATGCAAATTCAGTTTGTTTATCTAACTGAGATGCAGACCTAGAAACAGTAGCTGAGAGATTTTGTAACTCAAATAAGAAGTTTGAGTTGGGTGAATTCTGGTGTCTTCAAGCTGAGTCAACTCAAGAAAAGCCAACAGTTACTATAACATTTTAAGTGGAGCAGACTTCTCATTTTTAACTGAGTACATTATTATTCTTTTTATCACAGCATTACTATTTGTATTATTATACATAGTTGTGGACAATTTTCTGACTCCCAAAATAAATCTGATTTTTCTTTTAATAAATGTAGGGAAATGCTTCAAAACTATCATCAATGGTAACTGATTCTATGCTTACAGATGCAGCAGATGGACATTATGCTGACAAATGATGGAGTGGTTCTTTAACATCTACTCTGGAGCTCCTGAAAACTGCAGCCTTCTGACATTTCACATTCCAGTTTATTAGGAGAGTGAAGCGGAGGAGAAAAACACTCACCGAAGCTGATCATCTGCCCTCACTGTAATGTCCACGTGCAGCCTGCTGGAAAGTTTATCCGCGTGGAGCTCTTCAGCGTGCAAGTCCAGAGAAGTGGAGGAGAATGTGTTTCTGTGTGCTAGGTGATAAAAGGTGCTCTGTGGAACAAGTTTTCCCTCCCTCTCTCTCTCACTCTCCCTCCCTCTCTCTCTCAAATGAGTGCCAGAGGCTGTCAGTGAGCTGAGATTGGGCACTTGTAACTGCCATCCTCCCTCCCTCACTCCCTCGCTCATTTGCTCACTCACTCCCTCCCCAGCAGCCAGCAAAACACAAGAGTCCTCTCATGCACCAAATCAGAGAGAGAGAGAAAGAGAGAGAGAGAGAGAGAGAGAGAGTGAGAGAGTGAGAGAGACTGAGAGTAATATATAGGCACTCATGAATGTTCTATTTATATATTTGCTTGTTTGTCTGTTTACTTCGTCTTTGTTATTATCACTGTTCACTGTAAGCACTGCTTTCACACCAATGAACCCAAAGCATTTGAAGCTAAATCTGAAGAGAGAGAAAATGAGGGAGAAAGAAAGAAGAGAGAAACGTAGTGAGGGTTCAAAAAGAATGAGAGAAAGAGAGGAGGAAGAGAGATAGAAGGGGAGAGAGAGGAAGAAAAGGAGGGAAAGAAAGTTAAGGAGAATGAACAAGAGAGAGAGAGAGAGAGAGAGAGAGAAAGAGAGAGAGGAGGGGTAGAGAAAGAAAGAGAGAGGGAGGGAGAAAGAAGAGAGAGAAAGTGAGGAGGAATCAAAGAAAGAGAGAGGGGTGAGGGAGAAAGAAAGAAGAGAGAAACAAAGTGAGGGACAAAAAGAATAACAGAAGGACAGTGAGGAAGAGAGAGAAGGGGAGAGAGAGAGAAAGAGAAGGGGAGAGAAAGTGAAGGAGAATGAACAAGAGAGAGAAAGAGAAAGAGAGGGAGCAAGAAAAACAGATAGAGAGAAAGTGAGGAGCAATGAAAGAGAGGGGGTTGAGGGAGAAAGAAAGAAGAAAGAAACAAAGTGAGGGACAAAAATACAAGAGAAAGAGAGAGAGGAAGAGTGAGAGAAGGGGGAGAGAGAGAAAGAGTGAGAGAAAGGGGGAGAAAGTGAGGGACAAAAAGAACGAGAGAAGGGTGAGAGAGGGAGAGAAAGAGCAGAAAGAGAAAGTGAAGGAAAGAGAGAAGGAGGGAGAAAAAAAGAGACTGAGAAGGAATGAAAGAGATAGAGAGGGAGATACTTTCCCCAATGACCTCACACCTACTCTGTTTCACAATGCTTCTGTCTATTCTGCCAAATAGACGCTCCAGCAGTCAGCTGAGCAGAGCTGTTTCTGGCTATTAGTGGTATAAGCAGTCGCTCAGGGCAATTCAACTGTAACAAACTGTGTCCTGATACACAGACACACACCCATCAGACGGTTTTGTACTGCTATTTATTACAGTTCATTGTTGATGCCAGCAGAATCTCCTAATGTAAACAGCACACATTTCAAAAAAGCTATGTGGCAGCTAGCTAGTTAACTAGCAGTGTGGGGAAATATTCCATGAGTTGTATCTTTACTCACTTTATGTATTTCTGGGTCTATACAGAAATATTTTAGGGAATCAGTGTACTATATATAGCCATATATTTCCTTATAAATTCATATTGATTATACTGCAATATTGTCTAAATTATGTTACTAAAAGCTAATTATGTAGACTAAAAGCTAGCTAGCAGGACAGCATTACTGCTCTACAGTATTTTAATACAGTTAGACAGATTATCACTAATAATGTTTCCTTGCTAGGCCTATATTGAGAGAGTGGGACCCCAAATAGTATGTTACTTAGGGCCTCCAATGATCCTGATGTAAGGCTAAAAGCTAGCCAGAAGGATAGCATTACTGCTCTACAGTATTTTAATGTAGCTATAAGCAACAGAGAGAGGGTGGAGGGAGGAACCCCCAAACAAGATGTTGCTAAGAGCCCCAAAAGGCCCTGAGGTTGTAAATGATGTGAGCTAATGTGAAATGCTACAGCTAGCAGGACAGCAATTATTGTTGTACAATACCTTAATGTTGCTATAAGTTCTCATTCATATGTATAATGCAACCCTCTAAAATGTATACTGTATCTACTTTAATAGAATAAACCTATTTTCTCTTTTGACATGTCTAAATCATGTTAGCTAAGGTCAAAAACTAGCTAGCCGGATAGCATTACTGCTATACAGTATCTTAATGCCACCATTAGCAACTTTTTCTATGAGTGATGAATTATCAAAATTAATATTTAAACTGTTAGGCCTATATTGATAGAGTGGCAGTAGTATATTGCTTAATGCCTCCATGGCTCTGCATTTGAGGTTATAAATTATGTTAGCTAAGTCTAAAAGCTAGCTAGCAGGATAGCATTACTGCTGTACAGTATTTTAAAGCAACTATAAGCAACAGGTGCTATAGATAATCGATTACTGCTACTAATTATAACCATGTTAATAGGAGAAGGTGGAGCCCCCAAACAGGATGATGCTATATGGCCCCCAATGATGTTACCCAAAGTTAAAAGCTAGAGCTAGCAGGATAGCAATTGTTGTTGTCTAATATCTGAATGTTGCTCTAAGTAAATCCACTCAAATGTATAATATAACCATTTAAAATGCATAACACATCTACCTATATGTATAACATATCCATCTATATATCTAGTATTTAACCACTTTCTCTTTAGACACATCTAAATTATATTGGCTGGCTGGATGGCATTACAACTGAAAAGTATTGTAATGCAGCTAAAGCAACAGCTTCTGTAAGTAACAGATTATCCCCAAAAAATGTCCATGTTAGGCCTACGCGGAGAGAGTGGGGCCCACTAATACGATATTGCTTAGGGCCCCCAGTGGCCCTGCATCTGAGATGGCAAACTATGTTAGCAAAGGTTAAAAGCTAATTAGCAGAATAACATCATTGCTGTACAGTGTCTTGATGTTGCTATAATAGGTGCTGTAATTAATAGAACATTATTAATCACAACCGTAAATCACTAAAGTGTCTTTGAGTAGATACTTTAAAAAATATTATTACAAATGATCATGTAATGAGAAACTTTATACATGTTGCCTAGGTTTAGGACACTTTCATTTGCAAAGATATTCTACATCCACAAATCCTGGTTTACAGCATGTTCAGAGTGGAAGATTGTATGAACGCAACTGGGAAGGTTGTGGTCTCTTTTTTATTTTTTCCAAATTCCAAACCGGCCTGCAGCTATTTTAGAAAGCCCCAGTCGGAAGAGGCCATAACCAGCAGTCCAGCTTTTACTACTGCAAAGGCATTCACAAGGCCAAGCTACCAAGCCGCACCCTCTAAAATGTATGATACGTACAATTATTACGCTGTTAGTAAACGTAGAGCTAATCCTGGAACAGTGCTGATGCCATTCCAGAGATTCCTGACTGTACATATTTTATCTTTGCAGCAGGCAAGTGTGAGGAGCTCCAAGGGATGCACTGGGACGACACGCTACCTCATCAAAACATAAACCAATCTAATTTTCTAAATTCCCTCAAAGAATCATTGCACTGGAACAATAACATTTATTTTATTATTTGGACATATATTCATATATATTTATTTATTTCAGTTTACCATTTCAGTTTGTGAAAAGATAAATTCAGTAAATACCAGTAAATAAGGTATGCTGCATACTGTATCAGTACTGTATAGTGCACACTAGATTAGTATATACTGCATACTGCACACTACACCAATACTGTATACTGCACACTACACCAGTATATACTGTATATTACACACTACACCAATATATACTGGATACTGCACACTACACCAGTATATACTGTTTACTGCAAACTACACCAGTATATACTGTACACTGCACACTACACCAGTATAAACTGTTTACTGCACACTACACCAGCCTATACTGTATACTGCACACTACACCAGACTGTACCAGTCCCATTTCCTGAGGCCTGGTGTTATTAACCATAAGTAACAATAATTTTGCCACATTATCTACCAAATGATGTTGTCTTCTTTGTTTACATGTTACAAACCGAAGCATTTCATGTCTTTGTAGTCTATAAGGTGTCTCGCAAGTTAAGTTTGTACTATTTTGATTTTCTTCTAGCATTAATTATGCTGTTTACCTAATTAATCATATACATTTCACTAGTGTTATCGTTTCATCGTACAAATGTATTTAAAGGGATTTCATGTTTTATAAGGCAAAAAGAATGAATCACATAATTAGCTTGCATCAATTTTGGCTGCACTAAACTGTCCTTTCCTGAATCACTGTTTAGGTCCCATTTTCTCTCGAGTGCGGGCCTCGTGGTCCTCTGTGCTGAGTGGGTGACTCCAGCATCCCAGATTAAAAGGCGATTCTAGGTAGTGAAAGTAGTAAATAGAAGAAGAAGTTAAACTAAAACATCTGTCAGAACGAGGAGGCGAGCTGAGAACCCCAACGTCAAATATGAACACATCCCAAACCCGACACGTATTTGAGAAATTAAGCCTGAACCCAACTGAACCTGAGATGAGCCCTCGGGTCCTGTCGGGGTCGGACAAATATTTCAAGCTCTAATCTGAATGTTTTCCTGCGTGAGTGTGTATAAAGGCCTTCTGTGTGTTCACTGACTCTGTGTGTGTGTTTATGTTAGAGTGGACGCAGGATTAAAGCGGCTGGAAGAGAATTTCTCCCCTGATTAACCTCAGCAGCACTGCGGGCACACACACACACACGCACGCACGCACACACACACACACACAGACGCACACAAGCTCTCTCTCTCTCCTGTCCTGAATGTAGTCAGTGTAAACGACTCCAAATGTATGAATCACTGGGCAGACAGGAATCTCTAAATAAACGCGCTACAGAAGCGAGACTGACGAACACAGATTTGACTAAACACAAGACCAAAATGTGTTTTTGGAACCTCTCCCACTTGATTATAAGCATTTTATGAAAGCATCTTAGATGTAGGCAATACCTCAAAAACATCTCATTATGAGATTGTTTTGAGAATACTGCAAAATTATTCTACCTACTTTTAGACACTTCTACTAAAGCAATCTTATCCACTGAAACTATAATTTTGTATGAATGCTATTCTTACAACAACCTCAGAATGAGAAATATTAGATGAGTTGTCTAAATTTAAACAGGAATTACACTGCTTTTTGAAAATCTCTGCATAGTACAACCATTAAGACGCAAACAAAGTCATTCAGAGTGGTTTGGTGTGAAATGCTTTGTGCTAGAGAAACTTACAGAGTCAGAATTGTTCACAGTGGTGCTGATAGGAACCAGATGTTTGAAGAGTTTGATGCCTCTAAAAGCAACAATAACTACATGAATATACTGCATGATGTCTGCAACATTATTTTTAAGATAATTTTCAGTGTATAAATGTATTTCTAGAATATGTTTAGTGTGGAGAGTTAAAGAAGCATTGTGTAAGATTTAGTGGCATCTAGTGGTGAGTTTGCACATTGCAACCAACTGAATCTCTGTCTCTCACCCCTCCCTTTCCAAGCTTGTAGTAGAATCTATGGTGGCTGTCAGGTTTTCTGCCATCGCCTATCCCAATTTTATTTTGCTTCATCA